GCATCTTGCACTTTCTGTACATCTTCCTTGACAGATACTGCTTCTGATGTAGTAAGCGAAGTTTCTCCATCTGAACACTGCATTCTTGCAAGAGAAACATTTGAAAAGGAGTCGTGTTTCTTCACTTTTGCTCGCTTCCCACCTTTAATATCGCAAGATATTAGGTCCAAGGGAATTGGTGTCGCGTGTTTTCTCTTAACAGCTCTTAAGAAACATTCGGAGGAGAATGTCTCTGTAGCGAGATCCACGATGGCAGGGTCGAAAGGTGTGAACGTCACTCCTGTCTCTAAGTCCACTGGAGCACCCCACTTGCGATCCAAAGCACGGAAAGCAGCTGACAAATGAAGATGTAGCTCCATCGTGGCGAATATAAATTGTGTCGAGAACAGCACAAGATAATGTGCCTTTACGAATGGCAATCCGATAATAAAATCACAATGAGTTTGCTGGCCCATTTATAATGATTTAAAGAAACCCCTTCCACCCGATTTCCGGAAGGATTTTGGGGCTTATCTGAATGAGAATGCGTAAATTATATAATTAACACTAATTATCCGCAGTAATTAGTGTTTTCTTCTGCAGTTGACATTGTTGTACTAAATCGTTATAGGACTAGAATCCTTTAATTAGTTAATTTATATATTTTTGTAGGAAGATAATTAGTTAATATACCTACATACAATTCGATGACTGGTTATTTTTCACTCTTTAACTTGGATACGGTTGAAAGTAAAAAAAATAACAATCAAATTAATATAGCCTGTTTAACCAAGCCAAATTAGTTGGCACTTGTGAAAAAATATTTTTCATACAAACCGTGTACAGTCGCCGCGGAGGTTTTTTCAACGGCTAGTAGGTAACATCCAGACTTAAAAAAGAAATTGCCTGTCACCATCGAATCTACTGATGTTGTTTCTTAATAAAAATTTGATAGTTGTAAATTTTAATTATTACTTCATTAAAAGTAATAAGAAAGGAAAGTTTTATTACTTTGCCAAGATATTTGTATTTGTGTTCACATTCGTCGGATACTAGGTTTGATATTCGTATTCGTAAAAGTAGTATTCATTGCATCACTACTTGAGACACATCTCAAATTAGCTATCCCAAATTTTTTGAGACTTTGTATCAATTTATCCTAATAATTAAAAAATGCTCCCATCCGCGACATTTGTTCATTTTATTTTGATAACTAAATATACTGAGACTTTTGAGGCATATATATCTTAATATATATAAATTACGCGTCATGTTGTTTGCCGGGATTGATTAATACAAACCTTTATTTTAATTAGATAATAATAAAAATCACTGCAAATCTGTCATTCGAAATTCAATACAAATCTGTAAAAAATCAAATAGTTAAATGAAAGAGCTTCTATATTCATTGGTTATTTATTAATTGTAACATCACATTAATTGTACTCAAATAATAAGTGCAATAAATATCATATTTTTAAATTACAAATTTTAAGGTGTATGTGTAAGATAAAAAATGTTAAGGTAGAGACAAATACAAGTCCAGGATTTTTATTTCTTGCGTTTCTTGTGCAGCAAAGATATCTTCAGATGCTTAAAAACACTCTTCTTCTTTGTTAACGCTGCATCTTGCACTTTCTGTACATCTTCCTTGATAGATACTGCTTCTGTTGTAGTAAGCGAAGTTTCTCCATCTGAACACTGCATTCTTGCAAGAGAAACATTTGAAAAGGAGTCGTGTTTCTTCACTTTTGCTCGCTTCCCTCCTTTAATATCGCAAGATATTAGGTCCAAGGGAATTGGTGTCGCGTGTTTTCTCTTAACAGCTCTTAAGAAACATTCGGAGGAGAATGTCTCTGTAGCGAGATCCACGATGGCAGGGTCGAAAGGTGTGAACGTCACTCCTGTCTCTAAGTCCACTGGAGCACCCCACTTGCGATCCAAAGCACGGAAAGCAGCTGACAAATGAAGATGCAGTTCCATCGTGATGAATATAAATTGTGTCGAGAACAGCACAAGATAATGTGCCTTTACGAATGGCAATCCGATAATAAAATCACAATGAGTATGCTGGCCCATTTATAATGATTTAAAGAAACCCCTTCCACCCGATTTCCCGAAGGATTTTGAGGCTCATCTGAATGAGAATGCGTAAATTATATAATTAACACTAATTATCCGCAGTAATTAGTGTTTTCTTCTGCAATTGACATCTTTGTACTAAATCGTTACAGGACTAGAATCCTTTAATTATTTAATTTATATATTTTTGGTATGAAGATAATTAGTTAATATACCTACATACAATTCGATGACGGGTTATTTTTCACTCTTTAACTTGGATATGGCTGCAAATAAAAAAAGTAAAAATCAAATTAATATAGCCTGTTTTACCAAGCCAAATTAGTTGGCACTTATGAAAAAATATTTTTCATACAAACCGTGTACAGTCGCCGCGGAGGTTTTTTTCAACGACTAGTAGCTAACATCCAGACTAAAAAAATAAATTGCCTGTCACCAACGAACCTACTGCTGTTGTTTTCTTAATAAAAAAATATTAGTTTTAAATTTTAATTATTAGTTTATTAAAAGTAATAAGAAAGGAAAGTTCTATTACTTTGGCAAGTTATTCGTATTTGTGTTCGCATTTTCCGGATACTAGGTTTGATATTCGTATTAAAAGTAGTATTCATTGCATCACTACTTGAGACACATCTCGAATTAGCTATCCCAAATTTTTTGAGACTTTGTATCAATTTATCCTAATAATTAAAAAATGCTCCCATTAGCGACATTTTTAATTTTCTTTTGATAACTAAATATAATGAGACTTTTGAGGCATATAATAATATATCTTAATATATATAAATTACGCGTCACGTTGTTTGCCGGGATTGATTAATACAAACCTTTATTTTAATTAGATAATATTAAAATCACTGCAAATCTGTCAATCGAAATTCAATACAAATCTGTAAAAAATCAAATAGTTAAATGAAAGAGCTTCTATATTCATTGGTTATTTATTAATTGTAACATCACATTAATTGTACTCAAATAATAAGAGCAATAAATATCATACTTTTAAATTACAAATTTGCAGTTTAATGTCATTCACAAAAATGTTAAGGTAGAGACAGATACAAGTCTAGGATTTTTATATCTTGCGTTTCTTGTGCAGCAAAGATATCTTCAGATGCTTAAAAACACTCTTCTTCTTTGTTAACGCTGCATCTTGCACTTTCTGTACATCTTCCTTGATAGATACTGCTTCTGTTGTAGCAATCGAAGTTCCTACATCAGAACACTGCATTCTAGCAAGAGAAACATTTGAAAAGGAGTCGTGTTTCTTCACTTTTGCTCTCTTCCCACCTTTAATATCGCAAGATATCAGGTCCAAGGGAGTTGGTGTCGCGGGTTTTCTCTTAACAGCTCTTAAGAAACATTCGGAGGAGAATGTCTCTGTAGCGTGATCCACGATGGCAGGGTCGAAAGGTGTGAACGTCACTCCTGTCTCTAAGTCCACTGGAGCACCCCACTTGCGATCCAATGCACGGAAAGCAGCTGACAAATGAAGATGTAGTTCCATCGTGACGAATATAAATTGTGTCGAGAACAGCACTAGATAAAATGCCTGTACGAATGGCAATCCGATAATAAAATCACAATGAGTTTGCTGGCCCATTTATAATGATTTAAAGGAACCTCTTCCACCCGATTTCCCGAAGGGTGTGGGGCTTGTCAGAATGAGAATGTGTAAATTACATAATTAACACTAATTAACCGCAGTAATTAGTGTTTTCTTCTGCAATTGATATTGTTGTACTAAATCGCTAAAGGATTACAATCCTGTAATTAGGTAATTTTTATATAATTAGTTAATGTACCTACATACAATACGATGATTGGTTATTTATAACTCATTAACTTGGATATAGTTTTTCTTTATTCTTTATTAAGTCATACACCTTAAAGGGTAAGACGGTAAGCTTGGATATAGTTGAAAATTAAAAATAAAGTAACTATTAAAATTAGTATAGCCTATACCTACCACCTACAGTATACCTACGAGGAGCTCGATGGCGCAAGTGGTTAGCGCATTCGGCTGCGATCGTTGAAGTTAAGCTACTTTTGCAGTGGTCGGTCATTGGATGGGTGACCAAAAATCTTCTATCTCGAGTTCCTCCTTGCTTCGGAAGGCACGAGGCCCAATCTCCCTATTCCATCCATAGGGAAGGCCTGTGCCCCAGCAGTGGGGACATTAATCGGCTGATGATGATACCTACCAAGCCAAAGTAGGTAGTTGGTACAAATATAATATTTGTAGACAGATTTGCCTTTTGTTAGAAGGCAAATCTATGTACAAATTTTATATTGGTTATTTCATTTGGTGCAGTTAATAAAATAAAATAAATCCACCAGTACTACAAGTTAATATTAACAACGCTGTATAAAGGACATTGGGCAAAAATGTGTGGACGCTGCACCCCACGTCCGCCACGGCTTAAACTACATTTTTTTGAAAGTTATTATAGTCAAGATCATCTGTGCCAAAGCGCATCAAATTCCATCCCGGGGGTCTTTAGTCATTTTAAGTTAAATATGTACAAGTACTATAACGAACGAACATTAATAAAACAAGGGAATTAATTTAGTTAGTTAGTTCGACCCTACATAGTGTGCTCAGGAATTATGGGAGTACTTCACAAGGTGCAAGGGTGCCCTCTTTAGGTTATTCTGCCGCGCTAGAGTAAATCCAAAAATCCCCGCATGGGTTAGGTTTTTTTAAACATTCTGTTCGTTATAGTAAATTGTCTTCTATGTAAAACGGAGCGACCACAGATTACACAAACTTGTCCAAGCTTCGGAGAACACATGATTCCAGTTCATCCATACTAATTGACAAAACCGATAATCGTGTTCCAATATTCAAAGCGTGTTAGATAAAAATCAATCAAGTAGCAGGGAGCGCACAATCACAACGAAGTAAGACGAGTCGACTATTTGCAACTGCAAGTCCTTCAGCATCCGTAAACCGTTTTGAAATGTCTCAGTAAGAGCAAGCGCAGGATAGTCGGCAGGCTTTGTCGTATATCTGGTTGTATAGTACGATATGGCATATTATTATGATTACTAATAATATAAAATGAAGGTATTATAAAATGAATTTATTCAGCTACTTAAATATGCCCATGTGTCATATCTATTGACTACCAGGATATTTTTTACGGTGTCATATCTTTTGACTCCCAGGATATTTATTTTCGGTGTCATAATAAAAAAGGCTAGTTTTTCATAGATCTATCGATTCATACTAATCACATTGTTGGCGGAGCTGGGTGCGTTTTGCCCATTGTCCTTTAATAAGTTTTTAAAATCCGCAATAGTGAGATTGGTACACCAAATATCTCTCCCACGAACAAAACTATAGAATGCATTAACTTGCTCTCTTTTTCATGTAGACAATTAAAATGGTAAAAGCCTATGAACAGATGAAGATGTGTCTGTAACCAACTAACCAATAAGCCTTAAATCCGGTCCTAGGTTGGGCGCCTTGTACAGTTTTCTGGTGACCCATTCGCAAACTTTTCTGACATTAACAGTGTCCAACTAAACAGAAAATAATTGCATATCCATCAATGCCTTTGAGAACAAGTATCTTAGTGGCGTTAAAATAAAGCAGTAGTGCCCCTCTAGCATGTCCACTGCCATATGATTTATTTGATGCTTGCTTGATTGATATGATTTATTATTACTTGATTTATCACGCTCAATTACTTCTTAATAATCTTATTTACTATGGAGTTTGACAGTTAAACGCAATCAAAAACGTGATAAAATCGACCTATCCATAGGATAAAGCTACATCTGCATAGGCCCTACTTTACAGTAGAGCGATTTGAAGTTTGTAAGATGTAAAATATGCTTTAACTTGTATTGGTATTTTTCTAGCGCTGGATTTTTATTGCCAATCATATAAAGCATTGAGAAGCACATTATGACGCATTTATTGTTTAAAAAAACTACATTTACGGCTCATATTTTGTTATTTAATAGTATCTTATGTAATTATGTGACAATTTACTACGGACATCTTTATGTTATACATGCAATCAGATGCTTGGGAAACGTGTCAATATTATGTGAAGATTTATAACTTTGTTTTACAAAATTTATATGTCCTGTCGCGTCACATTATGATAATATGGCAAATAAGAAAAATAGAATCAAACATTTAGTAAAAAGTCTCAGTTTGTAACAAAATTGAGGCCGTGCAGGCTGCTTTCTTTCCTATCCAAAAGGTACTAGTGCTCTTGACTCTATATTCTTCGGAAACAAAAATCATATGTACCTTTATTCAATTGCTATCTTTGAAGTTATATAAGTTTTAGAATAAATGTTTTTACCAGTAAGATATATGCATCCGTTTCGCCTAAAAGTATAATAAAAGTAATTTGATAACATTTTCATATGTAACTTTATTTTATGCATAGGTCGAAATGTAAATTGTGTCAAAAACAGCTAGCGAATAAGCCTACTGGTCAGGAATTCCGATTCAGAATGTCGAACGTCCTTACAGACAAAATGTTAACGAGGCGCACACTATTCTAATTTTTTCAGAAACCTAACTTTCGTTTCGGAAACTACCGTCAACGCATACAACATAAAACAGTTATCAGTTTCAGTCAGTTACATCTTTTTTAACTTTTTGAATTTAACATTGAAATTTTATCATAAAGTTAAGTAAATGATTCCTCTTAAAGGATCAATAATTACGACTTGACATGTTGTCTCAATTAACTTTAAAATATTGCAAACATAAGACACCATACAAAACTTATAGTTTCTTATGTTTTATACACGAGACATTAAAATAAACGAAATATGTATTTTGTTTTCTGTCATTATTCTATAAATATGCGATGTAACTTAAAATAAAACAAATTTTCAGCTTAAAAAGTTATAACATAAATTTAAATGTTACGTCAAACAAATAAAGATAAAATAAACAAATTACCTTTTATAAAAATAAATCTAGTTAAGTAAATTACAAAATAGAAATTCTGATTGAGGGTTACCTACTTGAGACACATCTCAAATTACCTATCCCAACATTTTTGAGACTAGTGCATCTATTGAGACTTTGTTTCAAAATATCCTACCTATTATATGAAAAGTGCTCTGATCCACGAATTTAATTTTTATAAGCTTTAGGCGGAAGTATCAACAATACTTTCAACATTTCTACTAAAAAGTACCTCACGTGAACGAATTAATAAATCAGTGTGAAGCCTCGTAATTTTCGTAAAATATTGAGAGTTTTGAGGCAAATATTTTTCAGGAATATATTTGACTGTGGTCTGTTTGCATTGAAGGTTTTGCCCGTAATTTTGGAGTGACGATTTGCGCAAGGTGGCTGGCAGGAGCTGGATGCGAGTAGCCCAAAATCGATCTGAGTGGCGTGCAATTGGAGAGGCCTATGTCCAGCAGTGGGCTAGGATAGGCTGTTGATGATGATGATGATGATGGTGATGATATTTGACTGTTTCAAACTTTGTCTAAATTTCATTTCGACGTCAAATACACGTCAGCCAACCTTAGATTAAAATAAAAAGGGTAGATACGGCACAAGCCTCACAAAAGTGATCCGCATGAATTGTGGTCCACGACCCTAATCGCTTTAGTCACAACTTGACATGCAAACGACGTACATGTGAACGCCAAAAAGAAATATTGCTAATATTTTGTGTTTATATGATAAAACAATGCCTAACTGTGTTTTTAAAAACTGCTCAAATTGCTCAAGAACTAAAAATAAAACCCACGGCATCACTTTTCATTCGTAAGTACTATAAAATATATTTTTTCATAAAATTGCTGTTTGTTTTGAATCTTATTCGGTAGTGACATCGAGTACTGGTCGCGGGATTGGTCGGTAGTGCAGTGACGTGGATCTCGCCGTCTCGTTCACGCTGCCGTTGAAACTTAACGTGCTGTTTCGCTCGGGTCGGTAATGCAGTGACACGGATCTCGCCGTCCCGTTCGCGCTGCCGTGGGATCAGTTTTTGTTTGATGCAAGTATGAGCGTACCGTATCTACCCTTTTTGTTTTAATCTAAGCAGCCAACAATAATTTTGAAAGGGGACTGTTAGTGCTGACAAAACACAAATGAGAAAAAAATATGTTGTTTAATATGTAACTATAACTGTTATTGAACATGTGACTTTATATTTTCTTATTTATATTTTTTTTATAATTTCTATTGTTTATTTTATCATTAAGTTTAAAGTGTCTCACAAACAGAGGCGGCCTGCGGCTGCGGCCTCTCCTATGTGTATTTCTGTAACCACCACGACCCCGGCCGCAGCCGCGGGCGGCGTCTGTCTGTGAGACACTTAATATTATTGAATATATTTCGTCAATGCCTGTATATCATGCAAGATTGTTAAACCCTTACACTCTTACTCCCATCCTTTAAACCTTTTATTTACTTTCTGTTTCGTTTCCTTTCCTCTCCTCTTCTTTCGCCTCTAACTATTAGTAAACCGTCCTCTCCTCTCCCTGTCTTTCCCACCCATTCGACCTCCCTGGCTGCATCTGGACGCGGCCTCGGATTCTGGTGGGGCTACTCTACCAAATATCAAATCCCTTATACATCACAATTATGTTATATTCAGCACCTTAAAATGTAAACTGTAATAAATAAATGAGTTAAAAAAAAAATGAGAAAAAATACATTATTTAACCCCGCTCCAGTAGGCGTATTTACGTACCTACGTGAATCTTCATAGCAAACCTTAGATTAAAACAAAAAGGGAAGATGCGGTACTCGCAGCTCAAGTGATCCGCTTAAATTGTGGTGCATGACCACAACTCGCTTAGGTCATGCTTAAGTCACAATTAGACATTCAAACACGCTGCATGTGCACTCATTAAAACAATATTGCGTACTAGCGGCCGCCCGCAACTTCGCACGCGTTTAGTTAGTTAGACAAGCCGGGCGGTAATCGGCACAGCCGGGCGGTACAATTGAATATGTGCAGATGAATGTTTGGCAGTAATTACTACGGGTCGGCTTTGATATTCAGCAAATACCGCCGAATCGACTACACTGGCCAAATCCTCATTTACAGCTTATAGGCATTCGTTAGTAACCTACATTTTGATTTGAATTACTTATTCAAAATCTTAAGTGCCCGGGGCAAGAGATTTTAAAATACGCCCATTGTACCAATAGTACCGATATAGTACTTCTGGTTTTAAAAACAAATAAGCGAACTCTATAAAAAGAACTTAACTAGAAAATAAATTAAGAAAGTGGATTGTATTATTCAATGAACTATTTTTTTTAACAATTAAAAAAATAAAGAAATCTTTAATCATGCCACTTATAAGCTAAGCTAACTTAGGTACCTGTCTACGTAAAAATTATACACTATGTCTGAATTTCAGAAAAAACTTGTTGAAAACTAAGTACATAATAGGTGTTATGTTACTTCAGCTGATTCATTGCTATGAAATCGAATAAAAGTTTTTATCATAGGACCAAAGTGTAAGATTGTTTTTTTTATAGCGAGGAAGACAAATGACTCTACCCCACCTGATGTTAAGTGGTGATAAAGTCCAAACGCGAAGATAGCTGGTACAGCAGTTATAAACTGCTACACCAACCATCTATTCATGAATAACGAAAAAATATAATGAAAGCATTTTTCTAAATTCAAATATTTATTATTTTTTCTTCTTTTTCTTTTTGGGGCCATTATCATCTTTCTTCAAATCCTTCTTTTGTACCTGAAATTTAGAGATTATTAATTAGTACATGATGAAAATGAGGGTGTTTTTAGACTGCATGCCATGTGAGTTTATCTGAATGAATATTGATTTATTTCATTAATATTTTAACTAAAATCTTGTCGCAAAAATATAAAAACAAAAAATAAATGTAAACTGTAATTACTACAAAAAAATTCCACGCGGACCAGGCAGCAGACGGGACTCGAACCCGAACGCTCCGCTAACCGGGCGGATGCACTGCCCATTATGCTACCGCGGCCCTAATGTCCGTGTCGAATTTTCTGTAGTTTTTCTTAGGCTGCAATGCAGCGCCATCTATTCGCATTGTAGGAATACCTTTAAAATTATTAAACATTTCAAAGCAGAAATAGAAATTGTAATTAAATACAGTCAGGTCATAAGTATTGTTACACAGTAAAAACTTTTATTTTAGAATGCTGGCCCCAAAAAAGATTATTGATTTCGAATTTCAAATTGTTCATGAAAATAAAAATGTTTTTTTATTTTTTAGAATTTTACGCATTTTTTAATATGGAGTGCACGCTTAAAGATGACCGTGTTGCAGTTATTGCGTTGCATCGTTGCGGTTACGCGCCAATTCAAATTTTTGACATACTGAAAAATTTGAATATAACCAAAAGATTCAAACGATACAATGATGACTCTAGTGTAGATGACAGGTCAAGAAGTGGTCGCCCTCAGTCTGTTATGACTCTAGCAGTGATAAAAGCTGTGAAGGCGCGAATTCAAAGAAATCCCAAAGGAGTTTTTGGCGGGATTTCATCGAGTGCGGTTGGCGTCTTATTTTAATTATTCTTAAATTCGTTCATAGTGGATATTGTGAAATAAAATTGGTGTGGCTTTGTGTAACAACTGTCTGCGTAACTGAAGAATTAGTGGAATCATTAAAATATACGCTATTCCGGTCAAGTGGACGTGAGAATTTTATTATAGTGTTGACTACCTCACAGAAGCTTATCGAAAAAGCCAACTCGATACATTTCGTGCCAAACACTCCAAGAAACATTAGAATGCGTCACACTGACATTCTAATGTAAAAACAAAAAGAAGATTAATTTAATTAAAGATCAGGCTGTATGGGCATTGTTCCCTTTGCCTTCCCTAAAACGGGAGAACTTTAACAAAAAAAAAAGAAATCCCAAACATAAGCAGAAACTGCTGTCCCTTCAGATGGGGTTAAGCAGAACCACGTTGAAAAGGGTGTTAAATGATTTGTCATATCAATCCTTTTTAAATAAACATAATGAAAGAACAACTAATATCTAAAGAAAATTGACACTGGAAAAAATAATTAAAAATAACAAAATTTAAAAGACAACAACAAATATATCAAATAAATAAAACTTGATTTTAAATGATACAGAAGATATATTAAGGGACATAGTATACTCTTAGACTTTGTTGAAAAAGTGATTAAAGAAGGTTTTTATGGTTAATACATGCCTAGAACAAAAACTATATAAGCTTCACCAAAACTAAGTGATTATGGTATTGATCTTGTCTTGCGATAATGATAACAGTCACTAGGTTTTTATGCAGAGCTAGTATTTAACAGCAGAAACATTTTGATCTGTTTCAGCATTAATAAAATCAAAAGAAGTGAGCACTATTCTAGGACATCTGCAGACAGTATAGCTATTAACAGGATTGTTACAATTTACCTTTTCTTAAGTGTCCGATATGTCGGTACTGTTGCAAGCTCCATGATCTGGTGAAGATGATATGATGATGGTGCGAGTGAATAGTGAGAATGTGATCAGTGGCAGGCGTATTGAGCACAATAAATGACGATATCAGAGGGTACACTGATATGTCTGCCAAAAACATCTACCTGCGATTACTTCAGTTACTCTATGATCATGGCGCTTGCAACAGTGCCGAAATATTGGACACATAAAAAACAAGTTACATGGTAACAATCACTTTAATAGCTATAATGTTAGTAACAAAAGTTAAAAACAATATATCTGTAGACAGTTTGTAGATTTACCTTTCCATAGCCACTTAAAAAGTGTCCGACATCATTCTGGGTCTTCTTTTTCTTCTTAACACCCATTTGCAAAATATTTTTATTATTGATCGCTACTTGGTCATCTTTCTCTTTCTGTTTTTCCAGTTTTCTCTTTTGCATGAGTTCTTTATAGTTGACATATTCACGTTTTGGGGGCTTTGCTCCTAAAATACAAATACATAAATTTTATGATACAGCAAAGTAAAACATTCATCATCAAAATTTTTAAGCATTCAACTGCTATTTTTAAATCTAAAGAAAATTTTACTAGAAAAAATTCCACGCTTAGCAGGCAGCAGATGGAACTGGATGTGTAATCATTTAACATTGTGGGTATAGATCGCGCCAAACTTCTAGTCCGCTGTGAAGTTGTTACGCGCAGGTGTACAGCCCTAAACACAAGCTTCGTCCCTTTAAATAGGAGCTACGACGCGAATTGTGCAGTGTTCAGAGCGGACTAGAAGATTGGCGCGATCTATACCTAAAATGCCAAGAGATGGCGCGATCTATACCAAAAATGCCAAGAAATGGCGCTGCCTTACAGCCTAAGGCTAGAGAAAATTCGACACGGCCATCAAGGCCGCGGTTGCATAATGGTCAGTGTATTCTCCTGGATAGCGAAGGGTGCAGGTTCGAGTCCCGTCCCGTCTGCTGCCTGGTCCGCATGGATTTTTTACTACTAAAATTTTCTTTTGATTCATGAAGATAATAAAATTTAAATTTCTAAAAAGGTATCAAATAAATTTAATATGTAATGGATTGGTTATTACCTAAGCTCACAGCTAAAGCTATTTTGGCTTCCTGTTTTTTTGTGGGATCAAATCCAGACATTCCGAATTTATATACTTCGTGTCTTATTTTCTTGAGGTCTAAATCTTTATTTGGTTTAGAGAATGTTTGAGTGACTTTTCCAGTATCTATTTCCATGTTATCAGCTGTTTGCTTTTTCTTGGGTTTGTAAGATTCAAATTTCACAAACTGAAAGTTGCTTTCAGCATTCTTTAAAGCCAGTGCAGCTTTTGTTAACACAAGAGACATGGCAACAGTAATAAATGCCTGACTATATTCCTAAATTAACATGAAAAATTGCAAACTTTAAACATAACCTCACTTACATGATAATGTCACTATATTTTTTTTTTTATTCTGGCCTTGTTACTTAGTCTTTTAGTCTAAATCATTTTTGTCTTAGAGCATATACCACTGGAGATGGAATGGACGGGCCACCCCTCCGCGAAATAGATCATTGCCAATGGCCATGTTATAGAAAATTAGTTCACGCGCGACTGCTACCATTTTGGATCATTCCGCAGCGTGATTCGGAGTTCCCACAAAAATGGAAAATTATGTTGTTTTCCCACACAAAAACCGATTTGCCTCTTCAATCTTGCTGAAACATGGTGGTTCCTATCATATACAAGTATTTTTAAGTTTTTAAAAGTTAGTATTCTGGTAAATAATTCAATTAAAAGAAAAGGCGCGAAATCACGAATGAATGACAAAAATAATAGGTAGAAATTCAAAATGATGTGACGAAAAATGAATGAAATGAATGAATGGTTATTTTTGAATTAGAATAAACATCGACACATCTTATAAAAAAACAAATATTCAATCATTCACGATCTATAACTTAACCAAACAAAGGTGTCGACGTTTGCATGGTTCTCTAAGCTTAATACTAAATTTAATATAAGTATCTCCTTTTCATTCTGTATAGAGGATGACAAGGATACACTTCTCAAATTTAAGTTTAGAGAACGCTATCATATTCGACATCAAAATCGTGTAGTCGACGTTGAAATACGATAATATGTATAAAAAATACTTTATGGCGATGCCGGTAAATAGCCACATAAAAATTATAAACAATTATTAATTAGATTTATCCTTTTTTTTCGTTTTTTTATATAAGTTGAAGTCTATATAAACTATTCTTTCAATATCTATTCTTACATTGAAGTTTGACAGCTACGTTGACATAAAGCGGTTCGCTCTTGTTCTCTTATTGGTCTGTGGGTTCGCTATCATAGACAAAACAGCTATCCTATGTGTGTCAGTAAGCACGGTTCCCAACTTAGGGGTTTTGCCCCCAGATTTAGGGGCTAGAAGGGTTAAAGGATTCTCGTCCTATAACGATTTAGTACAACAATGTCAACTGCAGAAGAAAACACTAATTACTGCGGGTAATTAGTGTTAATTATATAATTTACGCATTCTCATTCAGATAAGCCCTAAAATCCTTCCGGAAATCGGGTGGAAGGGGTTTCTTTAAATCATTATAAATGGGCCAGCAAACTCATTGTGATTTTATTATCGGATTGCCATTCGTAAAGGCACATTATCTTGTGCTGTTCTCGACACAATTTATATTCGCCACGATGGAGCTACATCTTCATTTGTCAGCTGCTTTCCGTGCTTTGGATCGCAAGTGGGGTGCTCCAGTGGACTTAGAGACAGGAGTGACGTTCACACCTTTCGACCCTGCCATCGTGGATCTCGCTACAGAGACATTCTCCTCCGAATGTTTCTTAAGAGCTGTTAAGAGAAAACACGCGACACCAATTCCCTTGGACCTAATATCTTGCGATATTAAAGGTGGGAAGCGAGCAAAAGTGAAGAAACACGACTCCTTTTCAAATGTTTCTCTTGCAAGAATGCAGTGTTCAGATGGAGAAACTTCGCTTACTACATCAGAAGCAGTATCTGTCAAGGAAGATGTACAGAAAGTGCAAGATGCAGCGTTAACAAAGAAGAAGAGTGTTTTTAAACATCTGAAGATATCTTTGCTGCACAAGAAACGCAAGAAATAAAAATCCTGGACTTGTATTTGTCTCTACCTTAACATTTTTTATCTTACACATACACCTTAAAATTTGTAATTTAAAAATATGATATTTATTGCACTTATTATTTGAGTACAATTAATGTGATGTTATAATTAATAAATAACCAATGAATATAGAAGCTCTTTCATTTAACTATTTGATTTTTTACAGATTTGTATTGAATTTCGATTGACAGATTTGCAGTGATTTTTAATATTATCTAATTAAAATAAAGGTTTGTATTAATCAATCCCGGCAAACAACATGACGCGTAATTTATATATATTAAGATATATATGCCTCAAAAGTCTCAGTATATTTAGTTATCAAAATAAAATGAACAAATGTCGCGGATGGGAGCATTTTTTAATTATTAGGATAAATTGATACAAAGTCTCAAAAAATTTGGGATAACTAATTTGAGATGTGTCTCAAGTAGTGATGCAATGAATACTACTTTTACGAATACGAATATCAAACCTAGTATCCGGCGAATGTGAACACAAATACAAATATCTTGGCAAAGTAATAAAACTTTCCTTTCTTATTACTTTTAATAAAGTAATAATTAAAATTTACAACTATCAAATTTTTATTAAGAAACAACATCAGTAGATTCAATGGTGACAGGCAATTTCTTTTTTAAGTCTGGATGTTACCTACTAGCCGTTGAAACAACCTCCGCGGCGACTGTACACGGTTTGTATGAAAAATATTTTTTCACAAGTGCCAACTAATTTGGCTTGGTTAAACGGGCTATATTAATTTGATTGTTATTTTTTTTACTTTCAACCGTATCCAAGTTAAAGAGTGAAAAATAACCAGTCATCGAATTGTATGTAGGTATATTAACTAATTATCTTCCTACAAAAATATATAAATTAACTAATTAAAGGATTCTCGTCCTATAACGATTTAGTACAACAATGTCAACTGCAGAAGAAAACACTAATTACTGCGGATAATTAGTGTTAATTATATAATTTACGCATTCTCATTCAGATAAGCCCCAAAATCGTTCCGGAAATCGGGTGGAAGGGGTTTCTTTAAATCATTATAAATGGGCCAGCAAACTCATTGTGATTTTATTATCGGATTGCCATTCGTAAAGGCATCTGCATCTTGTGCTGTTCTCGACACAATTTATATTCGCCACGATGGAGCTACATCTTCATTTGTCAGCTGCTTTCCGTGCTTTGGATCGCAAGTGGGGTGCTCCAGTGGACTTAGAGACAGGAGTGACGTTCACACCTTTCGACCCTTCCATCGTGGATCTCGCTACAGAGACATTCTCCTCCGAATGTTTCTTAAGAGCTGTTAAGAGAAAACACGCGACACCAATTCCCTTGGACCTAAAATCTTGCGATATTAAAGGTGGGAAGCGAGCAAAAGTGAAGAAACACGACTACTTTTCAAATGTTTCTCTTGCAAGAATGCAGTGTTCAGATGGAGAAACTTCGCTTACTACATCAGAAGCAGTATCTGTCAAGGAAGATGTACAGAAAGTGCAAGATGCAGCGTTAACAAAGAAGAAGAGTGTTTTTAAACATCTGAAGATATCTTTGCTGCACAAGAAACGCAAGAAATAAAAATCCTGGACTTGCATTTGTCTCTACCTTAACATTTTTGTGAATGACATTAAACTGCAAATTTGTAATTTAAAAGTATGATATTTATTGCAAATATTATATGAGTAAAATTAATGTATGTTACAATTAATAAAAAACCAATGAATAAAGAAGCTCTTTTATTTAACTATTTGATTTTTTACAGATTTGTATTGAATTTCGATTGACAGATTTGCAGTGATTTTTAATATTATCTTCTTAAAGTAAAGGTTTGTATTAATCAATCCCGGCAAACAACGTGACGCGTAATTTATATATATTAAGATATATTTGCCTCAAAAGTCTCATTATTCTTAGTTATCAAAATAAAATGAACAAATGTCGCGGATGGGAGCATTTTTTAATTATTAGGATAAATTGATACAAAGTCTCAAAAAATTTGGGATAGCTAATTTGAGATGTGTCTCAAGTAGTGATGCAATGAATACTACTTTTACGAATACGAATATCAAACCTAGTATCCGGCGAATGTGAACACAAATACAAATATCTTGGCAAAGTAATAAAACTTTCCTTTCTTATTACTTTTAATAAAGTAATAATTAAAATTTACAACTATCAAATTTTTATTAAGAAACAACATCAGTAGATTCGATGGTGACAGGCAATTTCTTTTTTAAGTCTGGATGTTACCTACTAGCCGTTGAAAAAACCTCCGCGGCGACTGTACACGGTTTGTATGAAAAATATTTTTTCACAAGTGCCAACTAATTTGGCTTGGTTAAACAGGCTATATTAATTTGATTGTTATTTTTTTTACTTTCAACCGTATCCAAGTTAAAGAGTGAAAAATAACCAGTCATCGAATTGTATGTAGGTATATTAACTAATTATCTTCCTACAAAAATATATAAATTAACTAATTAAAGGATTCTAGTCCTATAACGATTTAGTACAATAATGTCAACTGCAGAAGAAAACACTTATTACTGCGGGTAATTAGTTATAATTATATAATTTACGCATTCTCATTCAGATAAGCCCCAAAATCCTTCCGGAAATCGGGTGGAAGGGGTTTCTTTAAATCATTATAAATGGGCCAGCAAACTCATTGTGATTTTATTATCGGATTGCCATTCGTAAAGGCACATTATCTTGTGCTGTTCTCGACACAATTTATATTCGCCACGATGGAGCTACATCTTCATTTGTCAGCTGCTTTCCGTGCTTTGGATCGCAAGTGGGGTGCTCCAGTGGACTTAGAGACAGGAGTGACGTTCACACCTTTCGACCCTGCCATCGTGGATCTCGCTACAGAGACATTCTCCTCCGAATGTTTCTTAAGAGCTGTTAAGAGAAAACACGCGACACCAATTCCCTTGGACCTAATATCTTGCGATATTAAAGGTGGGAAGCGAGCAAAAGTGAAGAAACACGACTCCTTTTCAAATGTTTCTCTTGCAAGAATGCAGTGTTCAGATGGAGAAACTTCGCTTACTACATCAGAAGCAGTATCTGTCAAGGAAGATGTACAGAAAGTGCAAGATGCAGCGTTAACAAAGAAGAAGAGTGTTTTTAAACATCTGAAGATATCTTTGCTGCACAAGAAACGCAAGAAATAAAAATCCTGGACTTGTATTTGTCTCTACCTTAACATTTTTTATCTTACACATACACCTTAAAATTTGTAATTTAAAAATATGATATTTATTGCACTTATTATTTGAGTACAATTAATGTGATGTTACAATT